CTTTAAGAGTCACTGTATTTGCTCATACAACATATAGATTTTTATTTTGCAGAAGAAGACAGTTTACTTAGCTTCCACCACTTGATTGCCAGAATATTCTGCCCGAGCCAAATGAATAGGGTTCACTGCAGTTCAATCCTGGCTTTAAAATAATAAAGAACATTTTTATTCAGATGATGTGAGATCTGATCAAGTAATAATGGCCCACAACAGGATATGCCTGGGAAATCGCACAACCTGAGGGGGGAAAAGTCGTTTTGCTAGGTGAAGAAGAAATTAAAACCTAGCAGCAAAATGAAATACAAACTGGTCCTACCACTTCTGAGGCCAACTGGGCCAGAGCCTGGGGACATTAATGGTCCAGAAAACAAAGAGGGATTTTCTCCTTGTGCAGCACTGCAAGTAATTTTTGGCCTAAATCCAACGTCTAGTTTCAGATAGAGGAGACCCATTGCATCAACTGATGAATGGCAAGTCAAAGAGAGGAGCTGTGCTTGCCCCATCTCTAGTTCTGTCCCTGTTCTGCAAATCTCATTGACTAAACAAGTGTACTCTAGTTGGGCCTAAAAACTGTATTTAGGCTAAGATCAAAATTGTGTGACCCTCCAGATGTTCTAGGTTTGTATTACCACAGTTCTAATCAGCATACATGATAGCTGGAAGCTGTAGTCCAGCAATATCTGGCAGGCTATGTAATATGTCATTGGGAGGAGGGAGCAAGCTTGTTTTCTGCTGCCCTGGAGTCGAGGATGTGGAACAATGTCTTCAAACTACAGGAAAGGAGATACCACCTGAACATTAGGAAGAACTTCCTCACTGTGAGAGCCGTTTGGCTGTGGAATTCACTGCCACGGAGTCTAGTGGAGGCTCCTCCAGGTTTCTTCCAACTCAATGATTCTATGATTCTATCTAATTCCTACACTTGGTTTTAGATCTTAATCAGGACTTTCTTTGGCTGATTACTGAGATGATACTTACATATGATTATTAGTAAAATATGTCAGTCTGCAGACTCACCAGTTTCCTGAAAATGCTACACAAAGGGTCATTTATTTGTCGTGTCAGGACAACCAGTCAAATTATATTACATTTCTAACAGAACAAAGCAAACAAACAGACAAAATACAAAATTTGTGAGTTTGGTAGTTGATTAAATGTCCTTTGACCAGTATCTGGCCACTTGGAGTGCCTCTGGTGTTGCTGCAAGAAGGTCCTCCATTGTGCATGTGGCAGGGCTCAGGTTGCATTGCAGCAGGTGGTCAGTGGTTTGCTCCTCTCCCCACTCGCATGTCGAGGATTCCACTTTGTAGCCCCATTTCTGAAGGTTGGCTCTGCATCTCGTGGTGCCAAAGCGCAGTCTGTTCAGCGCCTTCCAAGTCGCCCAGTCCTCTGTGTGCCCAGGGGGGAGTCTCTCATCTGGTATCAGCCATTGGTTGAGGTTCTGGGTTTGAGCCTGCCACTTTTGGACTCTCGCTTGCTGAGGTGTTCCAGCGAGTGTCTCTGTAGATCTTAGAAAAACATTTCTTTTTTTAATTATATTTTTTATTGTTGTTTTGTTACAATATATACATAAATACAAACATGAGACACAAGGGTTGGGGAGGGAAAAAAGGTACGATTGCATGGAGGTAGAAGACGAAAAGTCTTCTAGGGAAATGTACTAGGGGGGGTGGTGGTGAAAAGTGTGAAAAGTGTTGGAGGGAGGGGGGGCTGAGAGGGTACGGCGGGGGGGATGGGGTAGGGGTGGCAACATAGGGGGGGAGGGGGAAAGAAACGGGGGGGGGGGGTTCTTCCCGTCAGTCTTCCATGAGATCTTCTTCTCCTGTTGTTTTCCTCTTCGGAGCCAGACCTCATTTTTGATTGCATTCTTCATATGCTGGACAAGTCGATTTGTAAAGGAAGTTTTGTGGATTTAATATAATCTTTAAAGCCCGACCAATTTGTGTATTTTTTTGTTCCCTTTAATCTCTGCGAGAGACTATCCATTTGGATGATGTCCATTACTTTCAGACACCATTCTTCTAGATTTGGAATTTTTTTTTGTTTCCACACTTTCGCTAGGAGCATTCTTGCCTCTGTACTTAATAGGAAGATTATTTTTTCTTGGTTTTTATCTAATTTTATATTGGTGATTCCTAATAGATATGTTTCTGGTACTTTGGGGAATTTAATTTTTATAATTCTTTGTGTTGCTTTATGTATCTCCTTCCAATACTCTTTCACTACTTTACATGACCACCATTGGTGGAAAAAGGTCCCCTTTTCTTTCCCACATTTCCAGCAGAGGCTTGACCCATTTTTATTAAATTTTTCTATCTTATCAGGCGTAAAATACCAGCGAAAAAACATCTTAAACCAATTTTCTTTTAAATCACTGGCTTCTGTGTATTTTATTTTAGTCGTCCAAATCTCTTCCCATTGTTTGGTATAAATACTGTGTCCTATATCTCTAGCCCATTTGACCTGGCAATTTTTAATTTGTTCTTCTTCAGTGGCCCATGCAAGCAGTTGCTGGTAAATAATTTTTATTAATTTTCTATTCTTTTTCAGTACAGTGTCCCATAGCCTTTGATCTTGGCTGAAACCACACTTTTTATCTTCTTTATATTCTTGATAAATTTGGTAGTAATTTAACCATGAAATTTTGCTATATAGCTGTTTTATTTCATCCAAAGATTTTAATATTAGATTCCCTCCCTCTTTTTCCTTCAGTAATTGTTGATAGGTTAGAAAAACATTTCTTGATATGATATTATTTCTAGCACCCAAGGTTGAAGGACCCTGATGAATGGGATGAGTTGTGGGATGAATGGCTTTAACTGTGAATCCTTTAATACTGTTTATATTTAATTTTGTTTTAATATTTGTATATTTTAAATGCTGTGCTAATATATTTATGTTAAGCCACTTTGAGTCTCCTTTGGTGGAGATAAAGTGGGACTATAAATATAATAAACTAATAATAATAATAATAATAATAATAATAATAATAATGGTGGTGGTTTTTATGCAGCAAGGAAGAGTTTCCCCATAAAAAAATCAGCTAGTTAGATGAATCTTGGAAGCTAACCCAAGATTTTGGTCTCTTTTGTTTCATGATAAAATAATAGAATTTTAGAACTGTTTCTACCTGTATAGTTCTTTTCTGTGTAATTTTTGACATCTCTTCCAGTATGAAATCTGTGATTCCCTCTGCACACGCCCCTCTTCATAGAGCAAAATCAAATAAATCCTTCCCATGCCAGCTCCTGGTTGCTGTTCCTTAATTATTAACATAGCTGTGTTGCCTGGGGAGGGAGTTGCACTGGTAGTTTTTTAACCACCCTTCAGACTTTGCCCTGTGAGCCTTCCACAAGCTAAAGTAAACACAAGCTCTGTGATGTTGTTTGGAGGGTGTCCCCAGGGCCTCCTCACTGACAATGCTTGCGGCATTTCAAAAGCTCTTGGTGGTAATATCTTCTCTCCTGTTTATCTAGGATCCAACACTTTAGGAACATATTTGATTATCTTGTTATGTTATTTATGATGTTATTCGTTATACCACGATTATTATTAATACTGCAACTAATAATACATTTATTATTATAATATAATTTAATTACAGAATCCTAAAATCATAGAACTAAAAGAGACTACAAGAACCATGTTCCATGCAGTCATGCAGGCCAAAAGACTTTGGAGGTGTCTATGGACAACGCCAGCTCTTTGGCTTAGAAATGGAGATGAGTACACACCCTAGAGTCGGGCATGACTAGACTTAATATCAAGGGAAACCTTTAATGTTAGAAGTTTGGAAATGGAAGGAAAATTTCTTTTTGGGAACAAAACAGGATTTTTTATGGAATGGGGATACCCTGATTTTGTCCCTCCTTTGCTGCAACAATACCTTTTGTGTTCCTCTAGTGTTTTTGCATTGTAAACCCCAGCAGTTCTGGCCAAAGGTAAATAACTTGCTCTGCAATAAGATCTGGTCAGGTGTTCTCAGAGGATTACTATTGTTGTATAGCCAACCCACACAAAAAGAGGAATTGGGTTTGTACTTGAGCAGTTTAAGGCTCTGGAAGGAAATAGTTGCACTCCCCCCTCCTTTCTTCTAGTCTGATGCAACCATGTAAGTGAAACTGCACAAGGAAGCTAGGAAGGAACTGGTTTGGCTTCCTTTTCTGCCCAGAAAATGCTAGGAGCAAACCTTCCTGGCAGCAGATTATCAAATTGCAAGCATTATGTCATCAGAATATGTTCTCCTTTGCAGAACTGTTGCCCACAGCAATTTCACAGTCAGTTGCTTTAACTACAGGTCCTTATAGAAATTAACTCTTTCATGAGATATGCAAGACACAGTCCAGAGGAATAGGACAGCATTTCAGGGTTTGCTGCAGAATGTGTGGCCATCCAGCAGGTATTGGGCTCCAACTCCCATCTCTCTTAGTGATTATATCAAGTGATTATAGTGAGATACTGTGGGAGATACAGTCCACAACATGTGGAAAGCTACATGTTTCTCGTGCCTGCTTCAGAGTGGGTACTTATCAGATGAATCCTTATCCGATTCCTGTAACCAAAAAGGGCGTTTTCTCATATCGCATTAAAGATATCACAATTAAAAGTACTTCAATGGAATTTGCACCATCTCAAGCTCTTAGTGAAGTAGGTAGCTAATCTATCCACTATAGCAGGCTTTTGTAAGGGGGAAGGACAAAATAATAATAGTTGCTCATGCTGTAGGAAACTCCATGTATGCTGCAGAAGGTCTACATTGACACTCATCGCAGGCTTGGAGAGCTGACTATAATGTAGCCCTTGCATAGATTTTGAGTTACTACAGCTGGTATATTATTAATAATAATAATAATAATAAATATTTATTTATATGCTGTTTTTCTCCCACAAAGGGACCCAAAGCAGCTTCCAACATTTTAAAATACAATACAAAATCAACAGCAATCAAACACACAAATATAAGACATTATAAGTAATCATAACAAAGCTTTTAAAACCAGATGTTCCAGAGCATCGGAGAGGACCTCAAGAAGGCCCTCTCTCTCATTGCCGCCAACTATATTTCGGATGGCGCCGGAAGCAAGAGCAGAGCCTCTCCTGATGACCTTAGGGTTTGGGTATGTTAGTATGAACAGATGTGGATGGATAAGTAAGTTGGACCTGAACCGTTTAGGGCTTTAAAGGTCAAAACCAGCACCTTGAATCAGGCTCGGAAACAGACTGGCAGCCAGGGAAGGTGCTGTAGCAGGGGGATGGTATGCTCCCTGTCAGGTCCATAGCCAGGATTTTGATTTGGGGGGTGGGGTGGGGGACTGAGTTTGATTTGGGGGGGGGGGGCTGAGGATCTACCCTAGCAAACCTTTTGTATCATTATCCCAATACCCCCATGCCTATGGGATGTATTGAGCATGGTGATCAGATCATAATATGAATAAACATAACAGTTTAATTAATGTACCAGTAAGGCCTTCTCACGGACCACCCTGAGAATTGGGGGGGGGGGGAGGGCTGAAGCCCTTCAACCCCCCCCCCCCCCAGCTACATGCCTGCTCCCTGTGTCCAGCACCTTAAGTAATCTGGCTGCAGCTCTTTGGACTAGTTGGAATTTCTGAGCACTCTTCAAGGGCAGCCCCTCGTAGAGCACATTACAGTAGTCTAAGTGGGATGTATCCAATGCGTGGACCACCATGGCCAGATCTGGCTTCTCAAAGTATCTGGTTACATTTATAAGGCAATGTTATATATTCACAGAACGGTCTTCTAGCAATTATGTGTCTAACCACACACACACACATCTGGTTCACCAAAGCACATGTTTAATCCATTTTAATGTATAAGGTGCTGATTAATTGCCACATTGTGTAATTTGAAGTGACAGCAAAGGCTAGAATTCAGCAAAGCGTTTCTGTATATGCAGGCAAAGTCTTCTCTGCTGACTGCAAAATATGAAAAATCCCTGGAGAGCTGGAGTGGAGTCTGCTAAAGTCATCATATGGGAATCTGAATTGTAGCTATTATCTATTAAAGTGCATCCCTATACTCCTCTTGCTTCTTTTTCATTGTCAGTACTGGTATTGTCTTGATCTAACTAGCTATAAATCATTCTTTCCTTATAAGTTTTAAAAACTACTTATGTGGAATTTATAGTTGATTTTTGACCCAGGAAATTCAGTTATAGTTCTGATCTACTTGTCTTAGGGCCCTTCCACACAGCACTATATTCCAGAATATCAAGGCAGAAAATCCCACAATATCTGATTTCAACTGGGTTATCTGAGGGCCTTTCCACACAGCCCTGTATCCTAGAAAATCAGGGCTGAAAATCCCACAATATCTTCTTTAAACTGGGTAATCTGAGCTCACACTCAGATAATATGGGATTTTCTACCTTGATATTCTGGGATATAGGGCTGTGTGGAAGGATCTCTAGACTTTTGGTTATGTTTGAAATACCACAGTAAGTACTACAGTAAGTACTTTTTTGTTTGCTATAAGCTTTTGTATGCCTGATAAAAGAGTTCTAATACACAACTATGCAAAATAAAAATGGTTATTCTTGAAGGTGCCACAAAACTCACCAAGGAGTACCATTCTTATCATGCTTTCTTGTTTCACCTTTCTAGAAACATTATATTTGTAATGTAAATATTATTATTATTATTATTATTATTATTATTATTTTACTGACACAAAAACACAGTATGTCACAGCAAATGAAAAATCTCGATTTCGTATCAGAAAATCACAAGCAGAACACTTCCCAAGTGTCTAGGACTGTGTGATGTATATTATTATTATTATTATTATTATTATTATTATTATTATTTACCTTATTTATATCCCACCCTTCTCTACCCCAAGGGGACTCAAAGAAGCTTACATATGGCACCTACCCAGTGCCTAAACACTTACAATGTTAACTTAAAATAAATTGGGTTAAAATTATAATAATGATATTTGAAATATAAACATTTTACAGCCCTGTGATTTGAGGAAGTTTAGTCTTTCAAAACTATAGATTGTTCCTGCTCATCCAATTGTCTCTGTGTATCTGTGCATGCATGCAGATTCTTTTCTTTCTAGAATTACATGAAAGTTTTCCATGACTTAATGAATACATTCTTACTGCATAGTACTGAGAATGAGGAATGAAATTGCCTCATCCTGTCATTTTCAAGTCAAATACTCTGTGGTGCTCAAAGAACGAAAGTAAACAGTCATAAGTACAATATTTTGGTCGAAACCTGCTGTAGATAAGCAAAGCTAACACTGAGCGCAACCCCAGTATGTATTTTTTGCTAGGAATGGTATGTTAAGCAGACCTAGTAGTATCTTATAAAATATTTATAAGGCAGAGTGGATGCCTTTATTGGCTCAGTGAAACTATATTAACTTTGAAAAGAAGATAAGCATTGATTTTACTTAGATTCATAGAACAAATTGACATTATCCCTATGCATTTTATATGACATGGTACTGCCAAAGTTAAACACTTTCAAC